GCCTATGCCAGATCTTTGGGAAGGTCTCGACAGGTGGATAAAAATGCCACATCCAGTTGAACATTTGGCTAACTGCATGGCAAACCATAATAACGCCATTCATTCGGTCCATACACATTTATAAACAATGACAATATGATTATTTAATTTGTCATTTGAAGATGGTTAATTCTTCAATACCCCCACCTTAAGATATAGAGTACATTTTCTCCACATGCTGGTAGAATATATAAGAGGGAATGTGACTACTACTGTATGTAGTTTATTAAATACTTTCAGGAAAGGACAGTGAAGGGCTTTCAAAAAAATATTAGAACTCATTAGATAAACTTTATTATATTCAATGAATGTTCCCAGCAAAGGTAGCCATAGGACTCTTTTAATTTTCTCACTAACAATTTTGCCAATTTCTGTAAATATTAAACTCCAAAAATAATTTCTAATCATTGGAGATTTCCACTATTCAATGAAAATAAGCTTTAGCTCTGTATACTATCACACAAATACACACAGGCTCAGAGAGACACAAATACTGTATGAATATAACACTATAGTTATGTGTCACTTATCAATTATTTTCCTCTAATTTTAGCAGAGAATGAGAATATAGGTTTGGAATCCAATCCCTTTGACCAATGCAAATGTTTAGGTCATTTTGTGAAACTGATTTTAATCCATCTAATGGCACTATACTTTCATAGACATTAACTTTTTAGTTGACTTACTGATATCCAGAATTAATTTTTCAAATTTAGTATGCTGGCATTTAATACCTTGGATATTATATTTGGAAGAGAACAAGATGTGTGTGCACACACAGTGACAGTCTGCCAGCTGGTTATCAGGAGCTTTTAATAATGTAGCAAACTCCAACCCAAAGAAGAAATTTAATATAACCCAGCTGAATATTTTTTATAGTCTATTACATCTGGTATATTGGGATTTTTAAAAACCTCCTGGGGGAACTGGGCTTCGGAATGAAAGCTTTGCCAAGAACCATAGAAAAACACTTGCAACTGAAGAGTGAGGAAATATTTTGTGTTCAAAGGGTTTATTAATGGCAAACATCTCTCAGCATTATGAAAACTTAAGGATTTAGGAGGTCCAATTGTTGAATGTGGTTGCAAATGAAAACCACATGTTTATCTGGATATTGGGAGGATTTTTTTTTTCATTTGCTTTCCCTTAAATTTAAACTGAGTAGCTCCTATCAGAATGATAAGAAAGATGAGTAAGTAAGTAAGTAGGTAAGTTAGTTCATTTTCTTATTAACCCAGGATTATTTTATGGACATTAATTATGAAGTAGCCAAAGTTAGAGACAGATATAAAGTATGAATAGAAAGCAAAATGTTTTAAGAGCATGTTTTGAAGCTATTTTTATATTACATTTAACATTAGCAATGTTATAAGCATCAGAGAGTTGACCAAAGGGTCTGATAGTTTAGCACACATACTTTATGCAAGAACTTATTCTTGGGCTGTCCTGGGGGATCTAAAGTCAAAGGGGTGGCCTCACTTGCTATCTTGAATGTTTGATTCCTTTTGCAAATACTTGTGTTTCAGAAAATTCAGTTGTTTCTTCAATTTCTTCAAGCAAATCTAGAGATGGCTAGAAGGATAGGTGTTTTGAAAAAAAAAATCACATGAAAGTTGAGGAAGATGTTGGTCTTGGTGTGCTTGATGTGAATTATGATATAAAATATATTTAGCACAGAATCCATGAATTATTTAGCTCTGTTTGGCAAAATTATTCAGAGTTTTGCTATAAAGTGCAGATTGTCTTAATATTTTTGTCTCCTTATATGCTGAGCCAGAGAGACAGCTGTTTTCTCCCTTATAGTAAAGCACTAAATGCATATTAAAACTGTTTATTGGCTGTAATCCAGAAAAATAAGAAACTGTACACCTGTCAATCCTTGGCAATCAACAGGTTTTTTTTTAAAAAAAAACTAAATTGCTAAATTTGTTTCCACAGCATTCTTTTCCTGATAACTAAACCCTTGGCTTCATTTTTCTCTCTCCATTATGCCTCAAAAGGCTTAAACGTTTCCCTCGAGGCTTGAAAGAATTAGTCTGTGTTACTACTGCTTCCCATAAATAGTATAGCTTGTTTTAGAGAAGATCAGATTTCATGCCAAATTTGTTTTATCACTTCTTTCCTCTTCCCACCCCATCGCGACTAGTGTTTTGTATTAGTTACATACAGTTCCCTCTTTTCTTTGTAGCAAGTAGTTAATGCTTGTGGAATAACATCCAGATTATTTTCCCAATCTAGGATAGCGTTGTATTTCTAGAATACGTTCTTATGAATTATCCTTCTCAATAGGTCAGTATAGTGTTTAATGCATTTAATATGTATTGATTCATTTTTTTTTAAAAAAAGTGCTTTGCACTGGAGTATTCATCCTGGTATTCCATGCCAAGTACTGAAATATGAGTAAGTGAAAGTGAAATTTTCTGTGTTTTCTACCCACATGATCTCTATGCATGGTTTGAAGCCTAGAGCTATTGTTTCCTATAAAAATAAGCTTACCAAGATGATAATACTAATGGAGATCATGAAGATAGTATTATAGCCCAATCCTGGATTTCCTTTCTTGTCACCAGATCATTAATTTATGTAAATAAAACTCCTCCTGAAAAGAATGTAGTTCAGCAAAAATCAGATCATTTAAAGCAGTGGTTCTCAACCTTCCTAATGCTGTGACCCTTTAATACAGTTCCTCATGTTGTGGTGACCCCCAACCATAAAATTATTCCTAAAACCATCGAAAATATGTGTTTTCCTATGGTCTTAGGCGACCTTTGTGAAAGGATCGTTTGACCCCCCAAAGGGGTCGCGACTCACAGGTTGAGAACCACTGATTTAAAGCTTTTGGTCTTCCCGAATTTCTTTCTCTGATTTACATTTGTCCTTCCAAAGTTACGCTACTATTTGGGAATTCTGATGAAACATCTTCTTACAAAGGATTATTGGAAACTTTGAAGATAATCATCTGAGATATCCATTAGACATTTAGCAGAAGAGAATTCAAAGGAACACTAATGATTTTATCCTGGGGGATCTACAGCATCAAAACCTTGTCCCTTTCTTTACATGCATCACAGATGCAAGACTTTGATTGTATAGTCATGTTCATCATCTTTTGTGACTTCCCCTGAAGGTTTTCCTACTGTATTTGACTTAAGCTAGACAGAACTGCTAAGCTAGATCAGTTGAGATTCTACCAGTTAGAGGCTGTTTTCCTTTGTTGTGTTAAACAGTTTGCATTAGCTTGACCAGGGTTATATAAACTACTATCATTTTTACTTTCAGAACATCACTTTTTAAATAGGGTACGCTGTTAAGGGAGGATCTCCTGAAACTTCAGGACTATTGTATGAGTATTGCAAGCTCCATAATCTTGCTTCCTCAACCTTAGATCATAAACCTAAGAGAAAAGTTTGAAGAATTCCCTTTACCTTGAAATCTTCTATTAGAATTACTCTCCATTTAATCCTGCCATAGCAAGAAGGGACATGCTGACTATTTACCCTTTACCACCCAGAGTATAATCCTTAAAGATCAATAACCTCTTAAAAACTCTTGAAATAGTCAAGGGCTGAATATGCCTGGTAATGTTCTAGAACACTAATTGATCAGTCCCTGCACCTACTGCTTCCCAAACCCAAGTATTTTACACTCACCATAAGACTTATTAACAGTTATTAGTCGTGATGCCTAAATGGGCATTCTGTGTTCAGATGTACCCTGCCTGTATGACCCATATTCACTGCTTTTGACTTCCTGAAGATCTAAATTCAACATGGATTACAGCAGCATACTGAAGAGGATCATGTTTTTCCCCCAGTTTTATTCTTATATGTGAAAATAAAACAAAACAGTTATTATCAACATATTAATTTAAAAAAACGTTATCATTAGACAGGATGCATCAGTCCTATTCACCTAATTTGGAGAAAATAGGTAATTCCTGTAGAGTTCAATAGGTCATATTTATAAAACACATATTAAGCATTCTACTCATGCTTTAAAAACTAGTCTCATTGTAGAAATGTAATCAGGTTACAAATTTAAAAACTGTGCATTTCTAGTTGTCAAATGAATAGAAAGGCATAAGGGATCAATTAATTTTTCAGGTTATCAATATATTAAAGTCAGGAGCTAAAATGTCCTGTAAAATTTTGAACATATATTCCATTCAGATCACTTCATAGAAAGAGACAACCTCTCAGATAAGTACAAATACTAGAAAACTAAATATTTAAATTCCCTCATGAAGAATTTAATATTTACCATGCTACACAGAAAGCCAGAGGAAATTCAAGATTAATTATTTTCAGGCTAATATCTTGAAGTGTAGATATGAATTTATCCTGTTGATGAGCCATTAGTGTTGGAGGCAGTAGAGAACAGTTCCAAGAGTGTGGTCTCATTTAATGCTCTAGTCTAGTCAAAATAGCTGTTTCTTTTTCTAATCCCATCTAGAATTTTGAGTTGGTAAACTATTTTGGCGGTCAGTGCATGAAGAGAACTATAAAGGATTACGACAAAGCTCCATGCTACATACATTTATATGTTGGTGAAAAGTCTGGATCAAGAAATGTAGTATAATGTCTTCATTATACCAAGGAAAATCAGCAAAAGGTCATTGAAATGTTGACTGAACTACCAGCAAATTTTAGCACATTGCAGTGCACAGGATTGTTTAAACTCTACTGTGTCTTGGTAGACAGTGGGCTGCAATTAGGAAATTATTTTCGTAGCAGAAAGCCAGGAGTTTCCTGAGCCAAAAAGCCCTAAATTTATCTTAGGTATGTTGTCTATAACAGCTGCCATTAACAGCTTTAGTCTCTTTCATGCCAATGGAACAGCCCAATAAAAAACTATAGGGATTAGGATGAATGGGCCATTTTTATTCAACAGAGTTCCATTCCAATTATTAGAATGCTGAGTGTAGCCAAGTTCTCAACTGTGTATGTCTGGTGTAAGCAGATATGACACAGCCGTCACCTTCATCTGTAATAAATCTTACATCTCAGACACAGCTCTGGGATACACAGAGACTTGCCTTGTTAGGGAATATCTTTATCTCTGGGAGATCACTTTTACTTGTCAACAAAAGGAGAGATCAGGAACTTGAAAGGTATGGAGGTCTCCCCCCCCACCTTGTTTAGAAAGCAGAAAAATGCACAGAAATGGAAACATTTGAAGAAAATAAAGTAGTCAAGTGCCATATATGTGATTTATTTACATGAAATATATTCCTGCAGTTAAAATATCTTGAAAATGGAATGCCACCACCCAGAAATCTATGTAGTAATAATGGATATGGTAGCTTTACAACAGTGTAGGTCAATCAAATAACCCTTAAGGTTATTTTATTTGGGTACAGACTGGGATCACATCTTATTTGCAAGCTGTGTGGAATCATTTGCGGACAAAATTGTCTATTTTATATCAGGAATTACAAAGAAGAAGAAGAAGAAGAAGAAGAAGAAGAAGAAGAAGAAGAAGAAGAAGAAGAAGAAGAAGAAGAAGAAGAAGAAGAAGAACAGTGCTCAGGTGCATGCAAGTGCATATTTGAAATGCCTCTATGTGGGCCATATTACTTTCACCAAGTGATAGAACGTTAGGAATACTGTATGTCTGTAGAAAAAATCAGAATATCTGGCCTGAGCCAACCTTCACAGTGCTACTTGCACAGCAAAAAAAAAAATGGAAAAGTATGATGGCTTCAAGAATGCGGCATGCTCAAATTACACCAGTTTAGATTATGCTTGTGCAATAAATAGGCTATGCCCAAAATCTGGTTAATGAGCCTGTGCATACCAACATTGAATTCCCATCACATGCAATTCTTTAACCAAAATCTTAAGCGTACCATGCCAGTCATGGTGAGAATGGGCACTTTTTGAGGCTGGAATAAACTGGAATTTGAAACCTGCTACAAATTTCAGTTTCCAAAAATTTAACATGGTGATGACTCTGAGCTTGGAATGAGATTAAAATGAAGATGTGTATGTATTTTGGTTTTCACTGTCATGCAAACACTGTTTTGGTGGGGAGAAAGGCTTCTCTGATGTTCATTTAATGATCAACCTGGTTTAAATAGAAGCTCTGCAGTCGATGCATCTGATACTTGGTGAAAATCTATTTCTGCAGTCAGATTGTGTTGTAAAGATCGTGTTGTATATGTAGCTTTTGTGTGTGTGTGTGTGTGTGTTGAAGCTTTTTTTTTTTTTTTAAATGCCTGTGTAATCTAGCCTCAAATGGAACATGGTGACTAACTGGCTTGCCTGCCAGTTTGCTTCATTTCCAAGTTATTCTTTTGGAAACAAACTGACAGGCAATGTATTTTTCACTGGGAGGAGAATGCTAATGCATCCTAGATCTATGGCACTCAGATGTGGCTTGAGAAGTGCAGAGGATTTACTGGATTCTCCTCTACCTCTAAAGCTTTGTTTGTAAGGCACAGTCTATTTTGTCGGAATCAATACCGTGACATTTGAGAATGCAAACTGTGCAACTGGAAATTGTGTGTGTGTGTGTGTGTGTGTGTGTGCGTGTGTACGCATGCATATGTGTGTGTGCATTAAAAATAGAGCAAAATGTGAAAAGCTTTAAAAAAAGAAGCATATGAGCAATGTCCAATCCGAGTGGCTTGTACAGCTCTGTCACATTCTGCAGAACAAACAGCTATTAAAAATCCAAGCACACAAAGCATTACCGAGCTTAGTACTGACAAGCAGTGTCAACACCCTGTAATTAACAAAGGGTGGTATAATTTATAAAGAATGTACTGTGTGATTTAGTTCCACCATGAAGGAAGAGGGGAGAGGGAAAGAACCAATTGTTAGTTTAGGAGATTCAAAAGCAGTTATCTCTGGATGTAAACATTATATCCCTCCCCACCCCGCTCCCCGTCCATTTTCTCTGCATTTCCTTTGCTTGAGACAAAAGACTTTTTATTGTTTTGTCTCCAGTATTGCCATCTCCAGCAACATTAGATCATGAAGGATAACCTCTGCCCTCGTGTCTCTGTGTTTATTGGAAAGGTACAGCTTTGGCGGATTTTCTTTTGCTGTGAATAATTAAACAATCCTGAATACTCTGCAAAACCCGAATAGCCATAGTTTCAAAGCTGCTAATGTAGCAGCTAATGGGATGAGTTTTACTCTGGAATCAGACCAAAGGCTTTAGCCGAGATACTGAGAGCAGTCTGAAGTGCATCCACAAATAATCATCATACAGACAAGAAGCTCTTTTATGCTTTTCTGTTGTGTGACTATCTCCAAGGCAATATCAACTTTTCCTTCATTATTCCTTCTCAGTGGCAGACCTACACACTGAGGTTGGCCTTTGGACTACAAGTATAACAGCAGCAGCAATGACTGCATCCATTAAGAATAGAATAGAATAGAATAGAATAGAATAGAATAGAATAGAATAGAATAGAATAGAATAGAATAGAATAGAATAGGACCACTGAAACAGAGAGACTTTGCCCCAGCTTTCTTTTCAGATATGAATTGAACATTTCAAATATCTTAATTGGAAATGTATAAGTTGCAGGGTTTATAAGAGTTTCCAAGGTGACATTAACATTTTAAATTTTCATTTGGTTAATTTTCATTAACCAAAAAACAACAACAACCAGTTGTTGTATAACTCTGGATTTGAATAGGTGCACACAATTCCATTCTGTCTCACCAGGATCGGGGCAGTGTCTCTGCAATCTTATTCCCTAAACCAGGGGTCTTCAATCTAGACAATTTTAAGCCTGGTGGACTTCAACTCTCAGAATTCCCCAGCCAGCAACTCTGGGAGTTGAAGTTCTCCAGGCTTAAAGTTGTCAAGTTGTCAAACTGCCCTAAGCAGTTTGTTCAGTTTCCACTCTTCCACTAATTCTGTTATATGAACAGACTCATGAAATGGTCTGACCGCTGTAGTCCTCGACTTACAACAATTCATTTAGTGACCATTCAAAGTTTCAACGGCACTGAAAAAAGCCACATGACTGTTTTTCACACTTATGACTGTTGCAGTCACGTGCTCATAATTCGGATGCTTGGCAACTGATTCACATTTATGACGGTTGCAGTGTTGCACTGAAATCATGTCATCAGCTTTTCTGACATTTTGACAAGCCTGACAGCCAGATTCACTTAACTGCAATGCTACTAACTTAAGAACTGCAATGATTCACTCAACACCTGTGGCAAGAAAGGACGTAAAATGGGGCAAAGCTCACTGATCAAATGTTTCACTTAGCAACATAAATTTTGGGCTCAATTAGGATCGTAAGTTGAGGACTACCTGTAGTGTTGCCTTTTTCTCACTAATATTAAAAATTTCCATTAGCAAATTGGCAAATAGGTTGCTGTCTCTTTTCTATTTTTCTATTTTCTGCAAAAATAAAAAGAATCAAAAGGATGTATATGATTGTTCCTTACTTGTAAACTATTAATTTAGGTATTTATATATTTCTATCTGATATGGCTAAAATCAACCACTTTATTTATAAATCTGTATGCCTGCTTTTTAAAAAAGATGATAACAAATAGAAGATTAAATATAGAGAACAGTATAAGTCACATTCATCTTAGTGATAAAACACTTACTCAGATATGAAAAAAATAGTTCTTCAAACTTTTGAAATATTAAGCTGACACTTATCTGCTGAGTGAGGCTTCCAGACTTGTAATTTGTAACACTATCTGCCCTTAGTCTTTTACTGTAAGCCACATGAATCTGTATTGACTTTTATTAGGCCAGATGAAAGTTTGCAAAGCTGCTGCAAGATTTTGACTCCTTACTTTTTTTCAGGAGGCAAGTCGGCTAAAAAAAACCAAAAACAAACAAACAAACAAAAAACCCCCCAAAGAGAAAATGTGCCTGGTTCTTGGAATTTTAAGAAGTGTTTTTGACAATTTAGATACAGAAACTCCATCTTATAAGTAATAATAATTTGAACCAGTGGTGGGTTGCCCCTGGTTCACACCGGTTCTATAGAACCAGTAGTAAAACTGGTGGGAGGCTCTGCCCACCAACCCCGACATCATCAGAACGCTTGTGTGGATGCGCAGAAGCTTCTGCAGATGCGTAGAAGAGCGCGTGCGTGAACGAAGCAAACACATGCGCATGGCCCCGTTGTGAACCGGTAGTAAAGGTAAGTAGAACCCACCCCTGACTTGAACCAAGAATTCTAATGATATATGCAATGAAACATCCAACAATTGATCATTGATCTTTCATTTTGGATATATAAAATGAGTTCCTAGTAAAGCCAAAAAGAACAGTGACTGGCAGTACTGCATCCTCAGAGAATGTACAGTAGTATATTGAGTGGGGATTGTTGTGTGTGTGTGTGTTTGCATTCATGAATGTGTAACACACACACACACACCTTTGAATACGTTTTTTACTCCTGACTATTGCCTAGATTAATCCCTGCAGTTTTGACAAGGTTTTTCAGAAGTGGTTTGCCATTGTTTGCTTCCTAGGACTGAGAGAGAGTGAGTAGCCCAGCTGGTGTAATGCCTAAGGCAGGAAAAGAACTCACAGTTTTCCAGTTTGTGGCCTGATGTCTTAACCACTACAATAAACTGGCTCTCTATGTCCAGTGTAAGTAATATAAAACCCTGAGGTTTTGTAAAAATAAACAAAACCCAAAGTCACTTTAGCAGCAGCATCTAGAGGCTAGCTAAAAGCTAAAAATCCCAGAAGAATGAAAAGCAAACCACTACCGTATTGTGGCCAAGATTAAAGTATGTATCTATCTGTGTATTCACCAAGGATAAATTCAATATGAAGTAGCTTTTACTTTACAAAATAAAAGCACATTTAAAAAACAATAAATTGAGGCAAAATCATATAAAATCGTATTTAGAGCAACAGAAGGCTTATCAGTTAATTTTGTTGGATATATATAGGATTGTCTGTGTTTGTCTGTATATGTGTGCATGCGAACATATTCATACATCAAATCAAGTTTTGTCCATGCTATTTGTTGTTACTGTGTAATGATTGGGTATTAGAACTGTCAGTCAACTCATCTCCTCCCAGTTTGGGAGGGAGACATATAGTTTATGTTCCAGAGGGAGGGGGGAGTGAGAAAGAAGGGTTTGGAGGTGGTTGTGGTGGGGAACCCCAAATCCTAGCCCCAGAAAAACTGTATTTGCCAGACTGACACACACACACGCATACACATTCAATTTTATTTATTTATTAAAAATATGTTAATGTCCTGTTAACAAAGGAATTAACATCAATTCCTTAACAAAAGCCCCTGTCCTGGATGAAAGCCAGAGCATCAGGAGTACATCAGTAAGATGAAATGTTGAGAGAATGAAGACGTGGGATAAAGAAAAACAGAGGAAGTGCTATGGCAAGACAAGATCCTGCATGGGATTTACTATTGACAGATCACTGAAGTGGCTGACACTAGGAAATCCTACAGTGGCTGGAAAGAGCTGGATTAAATGACAGCACTGAGGCACTGAACCTAGCAGCATAAAGACAGACATCCAGCCCCAGATCCACAGAAGTGGGCAAACTGCACTAACAGGACACAAGGTGTAGACTGTGCAGAGAGATAATGCAACTCAAAGTAGCAGAGTGTAAGAGCCAAAGCAGCTCCAATGAATGGCACCAACAAGTAGCTGGCATTGGATACAGGAACATTTCATAGTGCATGGGCTAGAGCAGAGGTCTTCAAACTTGGCAGCTTTAAGACTAGTGGACTTCAACTCCCAGAATTCTGGGAGTTGAAGTCCACAAGTCTTAAAGCTGCCAAGTTTGAAGACCTGTGGGCTAGAGCTTCCCAA